GCAGAGGTGGCTCTTGACAGGGTGCCTTGGTCACAGCCTACACCCTTTGCCTTGATTTATAGAGGCAGGAAAAAAGGTATTTAAAACACTTTATGAACTCTACTCTCTTAGACTGCATCTCCAGTGGAAATTAGTGCAGCTTTGTGATCCAAAGCAGGATTTCTTCTGGTTTGAAAGTTGTCCTATCTCAGGAGATACATGCTTGCTTTTAGTGTGGAAAGGCTGAATGAGGCTGGACATCCAACAAGATTAAGACAGGCCTTAAGAAAGACTAAACAAATGATGATTTTCTAGCAGTTGCAAGAGCATGCTTTGGTCGCTACAAGATGACAACACGACGTTCATGGCCACGATCAAAAACAGGATGTGGGTGACAGGCAGGCTCCGTGGGGTTGCTGCAGTGGGCATCAAGAACAATGGTGCCTCAGCCTTCTGAGGGGAGGAAGGAGCTCACAGGCAAGACAAATAGCTCAGACAGCAAAACAAAGGAGAAAGTTCTTTCAAAATGGCATTTGTCCTAGCATGGAGCAGTCTGAAAGGATCCCTGCTCTGCCTCACAGGAGTCAGGGCAAGAGGAGGGTGAGTGTATAGGAAACGTTGTGTGGTGTCACTGGTTCAAGGGCTGGGGCTCCAACCAATGTGTGTAGAAGTGCTCTGGACCTCCAGCAGAGGAGGTACGCTCGCTGATCATGATGGGGTCATTGAAGGGTTTGCTTGATTTCCTAACAGCTAAGGGATTACCTTTTCTCTTCTTATCCCTGTGGATAGAGGGTGTGAGTTTACTTCAGAAAGAAGTGTGGCTGCCCTGAAGAATGCAATTCCTTTGTAAACTTAAAACTTCAATTAATTTGGTGAGTGCTACTGAGCCTGACCCTGTAAGGGTTCTTACGTGCTTAACCCAGTCTTGCCCAATGCCCAGATCTAGCCAGCCTTGCTGTTTTTTTGTGACCTTTGCAATACCTCTTTCCTTTTTTCTCCCCTGGGCTCTCTTGGCCTGAATTTCTACTGTGGAAGTTTTTTTTTCCACAAAACCATGAAGCCCATTGTGGCTTCTGTTGGAAGCATTTCAGATCCAGCAGAAAATCATTCTGGCTTCAAGGCTGTACTATCCTGCACCCCCCCCCCCCCCAAGTATTAAAGGTCCAGCCCTGGAAGCTGCTGAAATATGTGAGGAGTTGCTGTGTTTCTCTGAGCCGTATTTCTGCATGTCCTGGGTTTTGTTCCTTTTCAGTTGTGCTCAGAGCAGGTGGCTATCCCTTCAGCGACCACTTTTCCACATGCCTCTTAGGGGTGCGTTTCTGCTTTCCCACATGCGCTTCTGCTCTGCTGATTTCTGCTTTTGCACCTCACATTTCCTTTCTCATGAAGCTGTTTTAGACGTTTTCATGCATACCAGCTGTTTGAACCCAGCTATCATAGCATTGAAAAGAAGATCACAACATGTAGTTATTGCAGGTGAGTGAGTTTGTCCTTCCTGCTGCTTAGACATATATAAACCCAAGAATTTATTGCTATGCTCTCAGCACAGAGCTGCTGCTTGTCACTGCTGTCTGCGTAAAGCTATGGTTGTGCTACACACAGATAAGCAAAAGTAAATAAAACTCACCATAAGCACCTGGTCAGCCACAGAAATCACTGTCACAGTGAGAACACGCCAGTGAAGCCCAGGCAGAATCCATCCAACAAGCCCCAGTGCTCAGGCCTTGCAAAACTGATGCAAAGCAGATGGCCTGTGACAGAGGATGGCAATGCCACATTGCTGCCATTGGCCATACTGGTCTGCACAGCCAAGAGATGCCCTGGTGGCACCTGTGGGCTGGGGCCAAGAGCTTCTCCAGTGCAGACAGAAGTGTCGGGGAGAGCAGAGAGCTGGGGTGTTCAGACAATGCTCTGCTTGGGGAAAGGTCCACAGCCTGGATTGCTTCTTAAAGTTTGGCTCTTTTCAGTACAGGCTTCCACTTTTTCAAAAGCTTAGAGGCAGAAATGACACCACCTCAGGTTTGTGCAAATGAAATGTTTTCATAGCCCTGGGAGGTGGCTTTGCCCAATTTCGAGTATAAATAGCTGCCTGCAGTGGGAAGAACGCACAGCTACTTTTTCCTTTTTCTGAGTCCAGCTGTGTTTTTAAGCAGGAACTCTGCCTGCTTAAAAACACTGCTGGGGATGCTGCGCCCTCCAAGCAGCATCCATGATCTCAGTCACTGAGATGACCTGAGGGTGACAGGTGACCCTGAGCTCCTGGGGGCAGACAGAGGAGAACCACCTGCATTAGCAAATGCCTTCCAACAGGCAGGAGCTGCTCTCCCCTCACCATAAATCCCTTTGGGCTGCTTGTGCAGTGTTTGCCAGGAAGAAAGCAGCAGCTGCCTATTTTTAACACTGTCAAAACTTGAATTACTCTGCATGTGCCCATTGTTTGTAACTAGCATACCCTTGTTGCATCACTCTGGCATGTATTCCTGTTTTTCAGAGGAAACATGCTGCTCCTTCTGCAACTCCCCTCTGAAGCCAAGCACGGCCAGTGAGAGCAGCAGGAAAGCATGAGCATGTGTGAGGGCTGGCTAGTGCCTGACACAGCTCTAGCAGGGGGAATACCCCTGCTTCTGCCTTTCCTTTCATTCCTCTACTGGATGAAAAGTTAAATCCTGAAATTCGCTATAGAAGGGAAATGCCAAGGTATGGTTTTGGGTATTTTTTTTCAGAAACATAAGGTATTTATCTTGCTGACAAAATGGAAATGCTTGATTGTATTTTGTTGACATGATTCACAGGAGTTTTTGTCTGGGGAGGGTTCAAGTGAAATGTAATCCTTCCTGGCTGTGCTCAGCCGTGGGAACATTTGTCTCCAGTGCCACCATTCCTGTCATCTTGCCTTGGCTTTGGGTGGCACTGCATCTCCCATGGTGACCCCAGGTTATGTGGCTTCTGCTCTAGAGCTGCCCCAGTGACCATGTGTGGTGCATGTGCCCTCCAGGTAGCCATGTGCATGCATGAGATGCTCCTGGAAGCTTGGAGCAGAAACTGGGCAGCAGAGAGTTAATGACAGAGGAGCCTGCAGATCTCTGCAAACACCCTGCCATGGTGGCCTCCTCCTATTTTTGGCATGAATTGGAATTACTGGGGCTCAGCAATGATTTACCTCACCAACTCTCAAATCCCTGTTGTGCCTCTGAAATCCCAGGTGCTGTTTCTGAAATTTTAGTAAAGCATAGCTGGAATGGAAACTTCCTGCGCTAAAGGTCACATGAAAAATGATTTATAATAGAGTCATGCAAACTGTGCTTCAACCATGAGGTGCTCATTTGGGAAAACATGAGTTGTTGAGAACTGATTGTGTAACCAATAGATGGCACCAGGAAATACCTAAAATTGTTTCAATACCTTCCTGCAATCAAGAAGTCAGGCAGGCAGGTTCCTGGGGATATGAAGACAGGATCTGTCCCTGTTCCCATGGGAGTTGATGTGGCTCCAAGGTTAGCAGGCTACTTGCTTGCCAACCCTGGTGCCCTGTTTTCAGCTTTGTGTGATTTCAAATTAGAAGCTTGGCTGGGAGTTTGTCCCATGCTCAAGCCAGGATTTGTGCTGGCTGCACCAATGCAGACATGGCCCTTTGACCCTGTAAGATGATCACATGCCCACTCAGCCCTTGAGATCATGGTGCAGCAGGGATGCTCCCAAGCATGGCAAGTCCCAACCATGAAACCTTTTTCAGTGGGGTTTCCACACTGAGGGAAACCCTGGGGACAGGACCTGTCAAATGAGAAATCATAGAATCATAGAATAGTTAGGGTTGGAAAGGACGTTAAGATCATCTAGTTCCAATGCCCCTGCCATGGGCAGGGACACCTCACACTAAACCATGTCACCCAAGGCTCTGTCCAGCCTGGCCTTGAACACTGCCAGGGATGGAGCGTTCACAACTTCCCTGGGCAACCCATTCCAGTGCCTCACCACCCTCACAGTTAAGAACTTCCTCCTTATACCTAATCTAAACTTCCCCTGTTTAAGTTTGAACCCATTACCCTTTGTCCTATCACTACAGTCCCTAATGAAGAGTCCCTCCCCAGCACCCTTATAGGCCCCCTTCAGATACTGGAAGGTTGCTATGAGGTCTCCATGCAGCCTTCTCTTCTCCAGGCTGAACAGCCCCAACTTGCTCAGCCTATCTTCATATGGGAGGTGCTCCAGTCCCCTGATCATCCTCGTGGCCCTCCTCTGGACTTGTTCCAACAGTTCCATGTCCTTTTTATGTTGAGGACACCAGAACTGCACATAATACTCCAAGTGAGATGTCATGAGAGCAGAGTAGAGGGGCAGGATCACCTCCTTCGACCTGCTGGTCATGCTAAATCACCTGCAGGGCCCTTTGGATTATGTCCGAGATATAGAAAAAGCTTGATAAGAAGAGAAGGTATTCTTCTCTCCAGCCACCAGTCTGTGTCAGGTACCCAGTCTCTCCTGAAGGTTCCTACTGTTGTTGCATGTTGTCAATTCACTTTCAATCCTCATTATGCATTTTCCTGGACACATTTTTTCCAGCATACGATTGATTTCATAAATCAAATACACCAAGCTCGTTTTCATAACAATGATGAAAACTTGTTGATTTCAGGATGCAAACTCACAGATGAACAAAACCAGTGGAAAGGTTTTGGGTTCATTTCTAATCAAGGTCAAAACTTGACAAGAAGATTTCAAAGGCCTAACGCACAAAGATGTCAAAAATGCTGTTTTGTACCAACACAAAAAGTCATTCACAGCAGGAGATTACACTCTTATGTAAACCTGGCTTTGGGCACACAGTTGAGACAAGTTCAGCTGCGGTCAGAAAATGCCCCGTGCTGCTCAGGCAATCCTCCTACTTCACTTTGTGAAATGTCCCCATATCACTCCTGCTAGCTTTAGGTCTGACTGATAATTACTGTGTAAGTGTTAATCTCATCCCTTGTCCCATTTATATGGGACAGAAGATGCTTCTGCAAAAGGGGGTTGTGTGGTGGATGTGGAAGGGGAAGCACAACGTTGACTTGCCTCCGCACTGGTGGGGCAGCAAGCATCCCATTGCCTGGCTGGCTTGGCCTTGGGGACCTGCCACCTCAGTTCTCATCTTGTCACAAAACATCACATGGGCTTGTGCTTTTGGTTCTCATCTTCTAGTTCCGTCCTTAAGGGCTGATCCCTTGAAGATGCATTTCACTGAGTATTTAATAGCAGCTGCTCAGCATCTGGCAGGACGTGGCCCTGCCTGTAAATACGTGTGGTGGCAGAAGAGTGTGGTGTCGCGCCATAGGCAGGGCATGCGTCCTTCCAAACAGCCAGTTTGTTCTCCAACAAGTGCAAAATGCTTTCATTGTCTGGCCAGCAGCACGGCAAGGTTTATCAGCACACAAACCCGATGGGGAATGTTAAGCGGGTTAGGTGGCAGCAGCTCTGTGGAAGGTGGTCACCCTCCAAGGATTAGAGGTCAGAACAATTGTCCGCCCTGTGACCAGGCAGAGACACAAAGGGCCATTGTGACAAGAGTACAAAATCCCTGTTTATTACCACAGGGCTGACATGCTGAAAGACCCGCTCTCCCTGCCAGCACAAAAGCTTCCTTGCTTCAGATTGTTTGTTTATGTAAATTAAAATGGTGCATTTAATTATGCAATGGGACGAGCCTCAGCAACAAGGGAGGTGCTGATTGGATTGCCCCATGGCCAGAGCCCACTGGCAAGCCCTTGGCACATCTGATGGTGTGACCCTGCTCTGCTGCAGCACCCGCAGGAGAGGAGACAGGCGTTGACCATTTGCACAGGGGAGCAAAATCCCTGTGGAGAAGGGGTGAAGGGTATTGCTCCCCACCCCGGGGCGCAGGACCGGGCCCCCGGAAGTGCACGGCCCCGGTCTGCGGGCACGGCACAGCCCTAAGCATGACAGAAGTCCCATCAGCATCTGGCATGCCCGAGTGCAATGGGAGTGTAACCCTGAAGAAAGGCCCACTGCAGGTCGTTGGTGAAATAGCAAAATCTGTTGGAATGGTCCCTTGCACAAATGCAGAAATGTGCCCTGATGATGCTCCACCTGCAGAAGAAAACCGGGGGGAAAATAGAAACTCGCTGGCAGAGGACATAGTTCATGGGGATTTTGATGAAGAGAAGCAATGCAAAGGTAAAGTACAAGGCTGCCTTTCTCTAAATGCTTGGAAAGAAAAGCTCTATTTTACGTATAGGCTTATGAATAATGATATGCACTGTGTGTGAGTCAAAATTTCTAACCTATGGTAGCTGTTAACGATGAATCAGAGTAATTCGAAGTTAGGGACAAATTTGAGCTAGCAGTTACACAGGATGCAATGAAAAGTATGTAACTACAGAAACAAGCAATTTTTTAATCTGCTCTGAAAAACTGCTGCCAATCTGCAACCATTAAAACCTAATTATTCTCACTAACCGCTCCATCAGTCCATTTCTTGTGCTTTGTATTTCCTAAAGAAAAGCAAGAGGAAAACGATGGGACAGTACAGCAGGGATCAGCTGATATCCAGGACACGGGGACTGATGGTCAGGAATCAGAGGAAGGTAATGGAAAACGCTGTGGGACAGAGGTTTTCCCAAAGCATAGCAATGAGTACCCTTCAGAGACAATCACATACAGGTGGCTATTGGTTTTGTTTAATTCAGTCAGACCCTTATGTCCTGTAGAGCAGTGACTCATTTATCATCCATAGAGTTGCTGCACTTTAAGAAAACATGTCTGGTACCTTTTTCTTCCTGGGGTTTGTGTGTATCTCCTTGACTATAGGACGTTGAAACAAAGTGGGGTCATCAGCCAGGAGGTCTCCAACAGCCTTGTGAGGCTGGGAGATGCTTTATCTTCTGCTTTGGAAAGGGGAACTCAGAGGATAACCTCAGGAGGCTGTCAGTCAAAAATGTGTGGCCCCAAAACTCAACCACATTCCTGCCTGATTCACCAAATGTCTAAATCCCCCTGACACCCAAGCATCTAGCAAAAAATTCCTCTCTTAAACATCGTCTCTTGGGTCCCTCTCTATCCATTCCTAGGTGAAAACGGTAAAAATCAGTTGGAGCCAAGGCTGGATCTCACACCTGCATCCTGCAGTGAGTGGGGTGGCAGGGGGGCACTTGCTCCCCAGGGCCCATCACAACTTAAAATGTTTTGCATATATATATATATGCAATAGATAAACCTATTCAATTATACCATACAAAATGCAGCCACTCCTCCAGAAAGGAGGAGTATTTTATTGAGTGTTACTAAAAGAAAGCTACATCTCTCTCTAGGTGGGCTTTCAGCATTGCTGCCCTTCCATGTTTCCTATGTCTTATTGGTTTTGGCAGTGTGGGATGAGGGGCGGCTGCACCAGGGGCTGATAACAGTGTTCTCCCCACCCTGGAGACCCAGCCATAGCTGGGAGCATAGGGCTGCTGGCTCTATCCCACTTCCCAGCACCCAGCCATGCTGGATGTCTCTTGTCATTTCCATCTACCTGGCTGCAGTAAATTGGTATTTTCTATATGTCAGCTGTCACATAAATATGAAGCCCCTCCTTGAAGAAGAGGAGATTAACAACTCAGGGTAGCTGTTGCAGTCCTGGCAAAGCTATTGTTGAATGTGGCTCTAAAAGATGCATGGGCCATGCCCTATAAACAGAAACTTTGATTAAGAAAAGGAAAAAATATGAACATTTGTCATGGGTACAATAATATTTCATAGCAACTGTGAGGAGGTGAATCATGATGGAGGCTTTCCCACTTAGAGCTGACATCCATATTCCAGCTGTGTTGCTTTATGAGTGCACAATAAAACCTATTAAACACAGCCCTCCCCCCCTGCACCTTTTCCCTCCCCAGCCACAAGCACTTTATCTCTAAATTGCAGGCAGCTTTTTAGTACCTAACCAATTTAGTCTAATTAATACTCAGGACCCCACAGGCAAAATGTTGAATAGACCATTTGTTGTGACACTAAAGCATCATTTAACACAAAGACAAATGCCAAACAGGACAAATACTGAAATAGCCATCTCAGCCTGGTGGGCCACCTCTGAAGGAGGAACCATCCCAGGAGGGCTGTTCTGGGGTCCTTCTTCATCATGGGCATAGCTGGGCACTGGGTGCAGAGCAGCCCTTTTCTTTTCCTTTTTCCCTTTTCCCATCTCTATATTTCATTTTTCCTTTTCCAATTTCGCTTCCCCCTCCCCCTTTTTTTCCCCTTTCCCTTTCCTTTTCTGTTTCCATTTTCCTTTTCCCTTCCTCTTTTGCTTTCCCACCATGTCAGTCAGACCCAGCACAGAGCACTGTAGGAAGATGGGACCCTTGGTCCCATGATGGGTTCTACAGGGAAGGGGCAGCAACTCCAGAACAGGTAGTTTGTCTAATTGAGTCCAGCACCTGCTCAAGGCACTTACCAGAGAGCTTTGGGAAAGCTGGAAGGAAGTTTGGAAGGGCACCACAGCAGGGCCCTACGGTGGGGCATTTGCCAGCTGTGGATCCCACAGGGCGGAAGCAGATCTGGTGCATGCGGGGAGTCACAGTGCCTCTGGTCCTGGGGCTCAGGGGGGATGCTATGCTGCTCTTCCCTTTTTGAGGCTAGGCCATGGGCTTCTCATCACCTCCCCCTTTAAAAGACAATAGTGGGGAGAGCTCAGTGGGAAAGGTGGTAGACATGGGCATTAAGAAATGCAAAGGCAAGCGGCCTTTAGGAATGAGTTTGAGAATGTACAATGCCTTTCTCAAGCATGTGCTTGTGGTGATGGGGTTCAGCCTGGGGATGTGGGGCACCACCAGGCAGTCTCTGGAAGATGGGTGCTTTGGTGGCAGGTGCTGGTAAGACACCATGATGATATATCAAAATCATGTAGGACAGGGGCACAAAGGCAGTGTTGAGCCTGTCCTTACCAACAACCCCTCTGTGTTGCTGCAGGGCCAGGCAGCGAAGGGCTGCCTGCGGGCAGCAGGGAGCCAGTGATGGGGATGGCAGCCAGCACTGTCGTGGAGGCAGCAGAGACCCTTGCAGCCAGCACCGATGGGAGGGGAAATGCCACTGAGGAGGAGGAGGAGGAGGTGGAGGACCAGGAGGATGATGATGATGAGGAGGACACTGAAGAGGATGATGTTCAGGTGATCGAAATCAAGAAGGAGAACAGCAAGGCATCCCATCTAAAGCAGTATGACAGTGGCAAGGAGGCGTCTCCCCTGACCACACCTGGCTGCAACTCCCCAGTGGAGAAACCAGGGGAGCAGCTTAACCTGGGGAAAAAAAATGATATCTCCAGACACAGCTATTCTAGGTACAACACAATCTCCTACCGGAGGATTAGAAAAGGAAACACCAAACAGCGAATTGATGAATTTGAATCCATGATGCACTTATAAACTGGTGGAGAATGCTTAAAGAGCCGAGTGTTCACTCTGGTTTTGATTTTCTTGTTTGTTTCCCCCAAGGCATGTCTCTTCACACAGCATGAGGTCACTGCTCTTTTCCTTTTTGTATATGATTTCATAATACACTGTTAAAATTTAACATCTTTGCTTTGGCAGTGGGCAGAGGCATCCATAACACAGGAAAATAAATAATCAGTTTGCTAAATATAATACCATTTGATTTTAAGTTTATCCTCTTATTTTCTATCCAACTTTTGTAACCATACTCAAACAATAGAATGTCTTGAACTGGCTGGGGTTTCTCTAGCTGCCGACACACATGTGATCCATGCTGTCAGCCGTGCTGGTAATGAGTTGGCAGCAGCAGCTCACTGGCACTGGCCAGGGCAGGGCGAGTAACAAAAGAGACGACTGTTTGTAGCCCCAGCACACTCTGTTTTGCTGTCCGTCCATGCTGGTGTCTCATGGTGCACTGTCAGACACCTCTTGCTAGCAACCATCCATTCCTACCTGTGCTGGTGGGATAGAGGGATATTTGCATTTATGGGCAGATGCTGATGCGTGGGAATTATAAATGATGAGAAGGCATCATGGCCCCTGTTCCCACACTCCCATGCCTAAGGCCTCCAATGGGTACCTGGATTCCTTATACAGCACTGTAGTCAACACCAGACAGGACTGGTGCTGTCTGCTGGCCCCTGCCTGCTGGGGTGAGAGTTGTCCGTGTGGATGTGTTTAGACATGATGTTGCTCGCCCACTGCAGCCCCCACCATGGCCACCACCAGCTCATGCAGTGCTCCATTCTAGCTTGCCTGTTCTGGGTGCTAGCATGAAACCATAGGTGCAGCCAGCCCGAACAGCAGCTGGTGATGAAGCAGCTCCTCTTCCCCACCACCCTCCCTCCGCACTGCAGTGACTCCCAGCCCCAGTGCCGTGGATCCCATCAGTGGTGGCCAGCTGTGGTGCCTGACCCCTCATGCTTGGGGCAGAGGTGCCTTTGGGGAGGTGGTACTGGTGGCTGGTGCCAGTGGCACAGCTGGGCTCTGGGACACCCTGGGGGGGCAGCAGCTTGCACACTGTGTATGCAGGGCATGGCATGCACACCTGTGCATGCTTCACCTGGCAAAACTGACCGCTACCAGAAATCTGAACTTTCCCAATGCCACCAGTTCAGACTCTCTTACATGTCTTCTTGATTTCATGCTTAGTTTAGGCGCAAAATTTTAAAGACTTTTTTTGTCAAAGCCATGCAAGTTTTCTGCACTCATTGTTTTTGCATCATCTGAACATAACGTTTTTCCATTTTTAAAATTCTTGGTGTAACTACAATAACATTGATGCAGTCTTTTTTAACTGTTTTACAGACAGATTTGTCTTGAGTTGGGACTAAGCTTTGCAAATGTCATCCCAGAAATCATCTGGGAAAGTTGAGAGCAGCTGACAAAGGGAGAGGAGGTAAGAATGAGGTTAGACACTGGCTTCAGCTGCAGTGGCCTCCTTCAGCCATAAGCGCTTTTGTAATGATTAGTTTTACATCTCCAGCAGCACTGAATATCGTTTTGACTTTTCTTGTGCTACACAGAGGCAATTATTTATTGGCAATGTGAAAATAATAAATGGCAATTCTGTATTGTACAAACCAGACACAGCCCTCATTGTGCTATTCAGACTTGTTTATTCACTCTTTGGGTTGTGGAAGTTCAGAGGTTTGCTTGTATGAACTTATACTGTGGGTTTGTTTGCGCGCTGACAGCTGCCCCCCATCGCTCCTCTTGCAGCGGCTCCTCTAAGAGCAACACATTTCTCTTGAAGAAGTGGCCATTGCCTGGGCTGTCAGTGACTTGCCGAGGCTGTGGGTGCCAAAGAGCTGCTCTGAGCTGGCCAAGCTTAGCTTCAAGTACTGGCACAATGGTTGAGGTGGGGCTAGTGACAACTACCTCCCCACCATGCCATCCAGCCTGATTTGCACTTCGGAATGTGAGTGACAAATTTGCTTTACTGCTATCCACAAGTGCAATAGGGAACAAAACAATGAAACCCCATGGCAAAATAAAAATCAGAGCTCAAGTGCCCACCTTTGTGCATTGCTGAGAAGCTGGTGTTTTAAAGGGATGATGTTGCAGCAAGGCCAGGGGTTGATGGGCAGGATGTGCCTGTGCTCATTGGGATCAACAGCACATACGCGCGCTTGCACCTGGCTCTGGAAAAGCTGCTGAGGCTGGATGGGTGGGATGTGAGCCCCTGGTTTGTGCTGATGACCCAGCTGACTTTCAGCAGTGTGAGACACCAGGAAAAGACATCTGTACCATAGCAAAAGGCACAGCTGCTGTAGTAGGTGCTCTTCAAGGAGGGTGGAGAGATCAGCACTGGGGCCGAGAGAGGGAAAGCCTCAGAACAGGCAGACACCCAGAGGGACAGAAAGCTGGAGTTCAAATACTTCCCCACCCAACCCTGGGTGAGGAGAGTGGAAGGAGAGACAGTAGCATTTTGTTTGGTCCTTTGCTGTCGTGATTCCCATCTCCTCCAGTGAATTGTCTGGCTAAGCCGGATACCTTCCTGCTCCCTCACATGGCTGCACAGGCAGGCTGAGCCCCCTGCTTGCTTTAGCAACAGCAGGTGAGTATTTTTTCCTTCTATCACACATCTGTCTGTAACAGTTTTAACGTCTGGCTTATACCCTAGGTAACAGTTAAAACAGTTTCCAGACATTTTGGGCAAGTGCAGGGATAAGATGCTTGGCAAACTGATTGTGGGCTCAGGTTCCAGTGGAGTGTGGGGGCCTGCTGAAACTGTCAAGAAGCATATTAGTTTTTTACCTTGGAAAGCAGCATTTGATCAGCTGGGAACTGCAACTCCTTCTTTTGCTTTCCTTGGTAGCTTGAGTCCTGGGATGCTTTAGGGGCCTAAGGGCCTTGCCTGCAAACACTCCCCCTCCCACCTAACCCTCAGGGCGGGTGGGTGCAATATGTTGATCAAGGGGTTACAGGCGTTTTGCAGTTCAGCCTGGCACTAACTCGGGCAGGAGACCCCTTGGAAAGGGTCTGAGTTAACAGAAACTGTTAATGCACAGGGTGCAGAGGAAGATGCTTCATCTCTTATCATTTTTTCCCATTTTTTAATCGTTTTTTTTTTTTCTATTTTTTTTTTAACAAACCAAATGGGGCCTCCAACCATGCCGCTTTGTTTCAGGGTACTTACTGATGGAAGCACAGCATGATGTGCAGTGTCCCTCCCTGCCACAGCATTTGTTCTTGTTCAGAAAAGCTGTGTCTGTTTCCCATTGCCGACATGGGGGAGGATGGTGGTGCCTGTCCCCAGAATGAGTAGTGGTCCTTCCCACCCATGGTACCTTCCTCCTTCCCCTCTGTGATCCCAAAGCCTCCCCATGCCCCCCGAGGTGTGATGCACACCCAGGTGCCATCAGTGGAGATGGTAAAAGGAGTGGGCAGCTCACTGGGTAGAAGGAGACTCCTGTTGCCACATCTGCCGAGTGTGATGGAAAAAATGCTCTTGTTTCTGGAAGACTAGGCTGACTGGTGCAATCGGAACGCTTCTCAATATTGTGTAGCAGCAGGGCCACTGCTCACTGCCAGCAGCCCCGGAGGCAGGCTCCGGTCTTTAAGCAAAAGATACCAACATGGAAGTGAGCATCTACACAAACAGGGCATCAGAATGCAAGTGACAAGCCTGGCAATGGAATGTGACCATGACATATGACCATTTGGTGCCTACTTGGTGACAAATGATTGAATGTCAGCAAACAGAATTTGATGAAACTCATGCTCCTGATAAAAGATGACTGCACAAACAACATCTGTGTCATTTTTTCTGATGGTGACTGCAGGCTATCTGCACTAAAAGAGGGAGAAAATCAGGAAGACAGTTGGAATAGGAGCCAATAGGGAAAATCTGTTGGGCCAGTCAATATTTTGGCAGACTCAGCCTGTCAGATGCTGTCAGCATTAATCCACCATGTGAGAGGTAACATGAAAAATCAAAGGAAAGGTACAAGGGTTTTGTGAATGCAGGTGGAGCCTCAGCTGTGGTCAACAGTGGCATGAGTGCGATGCTCAGCCCCATGGATCCCCAGTGGCTTGTGCTCCTCACCCCAGTGCAGGACAGCAAGGCAGGAGGAGAAGCATGAGCTTCTCCAGTGACCATCAATGTACCACAAGGATGTGTCAATGTACAACGATGTACCACATCCCTGTACATCCCTGTACCACATCTGTACAGGGAGCAGCCTCCCACAGCAGGAACTTCCTAATGGAAATGGGGAAGAAATCTAGCCAGGGACACATCTCACTGTGCTGTCACAGCAGAATTTAGTCTCCTACCAAATCTATCCCTTCAAAAACTGGTGATGCCTTTTGGGGATAAAAAGCTTCACAGTAAGAAAAAAATTGCCCTTAACAGTAAGTTCAGAGGGACTTCTGGTGTGCAGAGACTGGCCATCCTGTGCAGCTCGGGCTGTGCAGCAGCTCATCCCACTGTATTAACCTCTGCAGTGGTCCCTCTGAAATGCCATGTACACACACACATATATGTGCACACACTTGTGCTCTGCAACCCTTTTTGAATTAAAGCCCTCACTGAGTTCCTCCATCCCAAGAGCCTACAGGTAGAAGTTTTAGGTTGTGAGACGTTCTGACAGAGGTCTCTGCCCTCCCTCCATTCCCCTCCATAGTGGGAGGATGCCACGATGGGGAGAGCTGCCTGGCTCATGCTGCTGGCAGGTAAAGCTTCTCTTGGGATGGCCCTGGCAGGAGCAGGGTGAGCCACCCTGCTTGGGGCTGCACCAAGCATCACCAGACTCCGGCACAGGCACCAATGCAACACAGTACCCTGGCCAGAGGCCAAGTAAAGCTGCAGCAGTGCTGGGGGAGCCATTGGGGCTCGAAGACACAGCTGGCCTCTGCTGCATGTCACTGGCAAAAAGCAGGATAAACCAAATTTGCCTCCCCAACAGCCCCTCTCACCTGCAAGCAAAGCAAGACACCCACATCCTCACTGGAGGTGTGGGCAAGGCATACTGACTGCCCCTTCCACAGCCCCGTTTACCTCAGCTGCTGGGCAGCTTATTGACCCATATTTGCCCCCCATTATTAAAAGAAGGCTTTTTCGATAAGCAATCAATTCCTAAAGGAACCCTGATACTCATCTGTCAGAGGCAGTGGGTCCCACAGGGTAGGATCCTGCAGCCAGACCC